AAAATAAAGAATTTTAATTTTTAAATTTAAAAGACAGAACACGCATGAGTCTTTGTATTAAAAGGACATAAAAATCGTTCAAAGTTGGTTTCAAAAGTTAACAACAATTTTCGCTAATATCTCGAAAACAAAAGCTTTCCGTCAATTATGCAAGAGAAAAAAGTTGTCCAGAACCACGCCCCTAAAAACATATTCGAAGAACATTGAAATCGTTCGAAGTTGATTTCAAAAGTTCATAACAATTTTTCGCTAATATCTCGAAAACTAAAGCTTTCCGCGAAATTTTTATATGAATAAAATTGTTCAGAATTATGTCCGTGATAAGATATTAAAAGCGCACTAAAATCGAGAAAAGTTTATTTCAAAAGTTGCCGGTTTTTTTGCAATAACAACACTTTGCAATTAAAAAATGAAAAATTTTTTGATAATGGTACCAATGGGGAGTCAGAACCTACCAGATGCAAAAGGTTTCGTTCCGATCGGTCCATCCAGCTAGGCATAATCGGTAAACATACATAGAAAAAAAAATATACTGATCGAATTGAGTAACCTCCTCCTTTTTCGAAGTCGGTTAAAAAGAACGATGATCTTTGAAAGGAGTGGACTGTATACGATTTTATTCTTGCGCATGAATTATCAAGTGATTGTCCCTTCTAACAATAAGTATAACCACAAACTTCGTAATCGACTGTCTGAATACTATTAGCCTATGTGGCTGCTAAAAATCTTCTGTCCGCCAAAAAATCTAACTGCCAAGAAGTAAACTGCCCGGTAGCTCCCCTTCCAGGCATTCCAGTAATTTTAACGTCAATGTGAGGTTGGAAATGAGGTGAAGGGTGAATGAATCGTAGACCGATTAACTATAACAAGAACTTTATTCAATGAAATGTGCGTGGTGTTTGAGAATCTAAATGTGACCGTACGAAATGAAGTCGGTTATGAGAATGACTTTTCCCGTTGCCTCTTGAGCCTACCCCCGCAAGCATGGGGGAAAACTCAAGAGGAGAAATCCCGTAAACAAACGACGACGGAACATTATCATCTGGTCGGCGAAAGTTTTATTGTCTCCGGTACTTGGACATTTCACAGGCTCGGAAACGTCGACTTTGTAGCGGCGAAAAAATCAACGCTGCACGCTATAGAAATTTTCCTTAGTTTTGCCATGTGGCGGTAAAATGTACATAGTTTAGTATTTTCAAGACCTGCCACATGGTTTACAATACACGGTTCAACTTTAACCTTGGTCCCAGCCACAAACCGACGGTCCTGTCATAAACCCAGGTCTCTAAACGTTCTTAATATAAAGTACATAAAGATTTATTTTGAAAAAAGATTAGATACATCCAACTCCCATGCGAAAGAGAAAATTAACGCAAAATAAGCATGCAAAATTGTCTTAAATAATGCATTAATAAGTGCATCATTATCCATCTCAAAAATATGGAGTATGAGATGTATTAGACGATGTTTATTGTCACGAAAAATATAATATTAAGTAGTAAATCGTTATATATTCATTTACTGCACTAAAATGCTTAAGTATCACTTTATCATTTGATAAATATATTTTTTTAAATACGAATACCCATTTTTTCTATAATCTGAAATTTCTTAAACACTATGATTTTAATGCTTCTAATAAGATCTTCGATTAAATTTTCCTGAATTATTAACTACGTTCTAACTATCACGATTTTTAATTCTTAAAACATTGAATTATATTTTGTTCTTTTAATAAATTTCATTCACTAATATTCCTCATATATTTTCAATAAGATCTATACCTGGAGGTAGTATCGGTCATTTTAAATTTGATCCCTAAAACAAGTTATGTGCTTGCACTGTAGTAACAGGGGCAGCGGTACTATGCTATTAAAATATGAGTGAAATTTTACTATCATAGGGATAATCCTTCAATGTTTTTTTTATTATTGATTTTTATAATTGTGGTCATCGGCGCTGTACTAAAAACTCTGCATTACATTACATTATCATCGACAAAATTATGTATTGGAAAACATGTTTTTCTTTTGGAATATCATATTAATAGAAATTAAGGCAATCTAAACTGATTTTATCTTGAAAATTGTTAATTTATACTAAGATACTTTTTTCGACGTGTAATTTTAGTAGAGTATATGAACTCATAAATACCAGTGAACTAATCCAATGAAAACAACAAAAAATATTCCAAATTGACAAAAATTTAATTGAAAATTTTGTTAAGAATGTTAAAACCAATTAATTAATCGTAATGTAATAGACGTTTATTATTAATAATAATATTTATTACAATTAGTTAATAAATAAGCAGTTTCTTTTTAAGCGAATCTCTACTTTTGTCTAACCTACAAATACCATTTTTCATAAAAGTAGCAACTCGTAGTATTGCTTGCTTTGTATTTTTGCGTAATAACACAAAAACGGACTAATAGTATTAACCACAACAGTAACATAGCTGGAAATGAATTTATATAAAAATTACTTTTATATAAACATATCTAAATAAAACTTTATAATTGAAAAACGAAATGTTAAATATCTTACACTGGAATTTCCAAATTGGCAATACAATAAAAGGATATCGAATGGGTACCTTTAAATGATTGTGTGGAAATTGCTTGATTTGTTATAGTCAATCTAATTGTACAATTGGTTGTATTAATCAATTTTTACATTGATGTTCACAGAAATTATCACGAATTGCTATCTACCCGAAGGAATCTCATAATATCGACAGCGTCGAGACAGCCGTCACACAACATTTTGCTTATTTACACGGTATTTTGCAAAATGTTGAGAAAAACATCATTGATTCTTTACACAATCATCGAAATTCTCGAAGTACTAATATTGAGGACATCTCGCAACAGCTGCAAGATTACGAGAATCAGATACAATCTGCTTTAATGGTAAGTAGCATTTATTGCTTTAAGAAATTGATAGATATAATTAAGTTTCAAATATTAGGTCGAGTCATAAGTAACTTCCGTTTTTTTATCAGACATTTATTTCGTTCTCATTAAACAACAAAATTATATTATTTTATTATATATTCACCACTATTTTCTATAACCTTCTCCCATGTTCCTGGTAGTTTATCAATTCCTTCCTTGTAAAATGTGGTTGGTTTGGACTGGAAGAAGCTTTCAACAGCCTACCTGACTTGCTCTTCAGAATTGAAGGTTTTTCCATTTAAAAAGTTTTGTAAGGAACAGAAAAGGTGGTAGTCTGTCGGGGCAAGATCT